GAGAATTTCTTTAAGTCTGCCTGTTGGTTAATGGTTACTGTCACCTAAAAGATTCTGAACTTTTATCCAAAAACTAACATATCAAGTCTCTGTCCATTTAGAGTTCCTCAATTTTGTCCACTATAAACAGTCCCTGCAGCCATTTCAGATTGAAGCCAATAAGTTCTCAAACTGGCTGTCAAAAAGTTATTGAACTACAGTATTTGCTGCAGTGGAATCTACCAAAATAAATTCCTGAGTTACAAAGTAAGTACTGTACCGTAGTGAGGGGTCACTTAACACAATGGTATAATACCAATACTGTACAGTATGGTTTGATATACAGTCGACCTGTAATTTGACTAATAGGGGAAGGGTGTCCGTTTTGTTCCATTGTTCAATTAACCGATTTAGGGGTTAATACTGTATTGCATTATATTTCAAAGTCATTGTTTTCGCCAATATTTTATCCCACTTTCCACTGTAATACGACGTAATTTCAGCAAAAATATTACATTTCCGTGAATGTATTATATCAAGACAGTATGAATAGAATATCATTGTAATATAACAGTATTTAACCGAAAAACTATTAAAAAACGAGTAACTTCTCTTGAACATCGGAAGGTTAGGTAGTCTTTTGTTTTGTCATGTATTTTATCCTATTTTACATTAAAATACATCACGCTTAAGCAAAACTACTATTTATTTCCGGATAATATATTCATTCAGGCACAGTTAAGGTAAAATATACATGTGATGTAACAGTTTTTAACTGAAAACGATTCGAAAACACGCGAAATCGCCTAGCTGATACAGTTGGTGGTGCGCCTTGAGTCGCTGTAAACAATAGGAGGTTGAAGTAGATTACCGGGTAATATATTAAGTGTGAAATATCGAAAAGGTTTTTATTACTGGTATTTTTGTAGATCAATGAGAACTGTGATACAGAGGTGATATGATATGTAAGTTAGCCTGAGCTAAGAACTTCAAAATAGACTACTGAAAACACGTTGTAAGGTAATTTAGCCTATTGTAGTTGGTGAGCTTCATTTGATGAAGGAACTGCACAACTTTTCATTACTAATTGGTACATATTTTATGTTTCCATTGTTTACTGGCAGTAAATGGTAAATATTTTCTCATGTCTGAAGTTAAGTTGCATCCTCCCCCACACTAGTGGTGGAGATGTTACATGTTTTATCCCAGCAGTGGGTGGACCAGCATTTTAGCTTAAGGTCCGCTGGAGGTAATATTCCTAAATCTTAAAAAATCAGATTTTGTCCGAATTATCCAAACCGATTAAAGGGGTCCAATTTTGTATAAAGATTTTTTATATCGTGACTACCAAAATTATCGACATTTTTCCAATATACAGTACAGCGATAAATTTATTTATTTCACGCAGGGAAATCGGCAGGAAATATTTCAAAAATGCCATGGTAAACAAATGCTGCTATTTGCTCACCAGAGGCGCTACTGTGGCTATTCACTTCACTATTCACACTCCGCCACAGTCTTCCCGAGCGTGGTGACGAGCAAGCAGTCGACTCTGCTGCAGATTACTTTCTAAGGCGAGTGTAAATGGGATGCTAGTGACGTGAAAATGTATGAAGAGAATGGAAAGCTTAATGAAAAGATTTAATACTGTAACTAATAAATGGGTTTGTTCATTTATATAGTGTGGATTGTCAAGAGGGTGGCAGTGTGGAGTCTGCTGCCTAGTCTGGTGTTCCTGAGTCTGGTGTTCCTTGATATTGATACTGAAATAGCCTGTTGTTCCGAGTGAGTGTTAATTGGTGCTTTAATTAGTAAGAAATGAACTTAAGTCAAGTCAAGTTTAGTCACTTTTATTGGCCTCCAGAACCTAACTCTATTTTCCCCATGGATTACATGTACTGTAATTTATATGGCGAACATCCTCGAGCTTATCTCGCGATATATCCCAACCCTACTGTATATTGCACCATCAGAATCCATAATATGATAACAGTACAGTGGTCCTCGGTTAACGAGCTTCAGTTAACAAGAGATTTCTTTGCTAACGAGCCACCTTCCATAAGATTCTTAACCTCTCGGTTAATGAGCAATCCCAGATTAACGAAGTTTCTACGGTGTTTACCTCAACATGTTTTCGCTAAATTTACATGCAAGGTCAACCAGTTGTAGTATAGTCCGCCAATACAGTAACGGTTCTAGGGCTTTAAATTTCATTATTTTAGTAAATATCAAGAAGTTTATACTATTCAATAATTTTAAAACTTTAATATTAAATACCCTTAAGTCATTTTAAATAATTATTGAACATAATCGAAGGTAAAGAAACTAGTTTGGCGGGCCATCCAGCCTGTTAACACACCAAACAGGTGTGTTAGTCTCTCTTTTTCAGTGGAGGTAACATCTTGCTTGAGACTCTTCAACTAAACGTTTTTGCTTGGTGCTCTGCCAAATTATTGGTCATTTTGAAATTTATTTTACATATTAGACAATATATAGCACAGTGCATTGTTATTTTAAAGAAAATATTCTTTTTATTTAGGAGGAAGTTTAACTTAAAATATCAATGCGTACAGAGTGTTTCAACCGCATGGGGCCTAAGAGATCAAGAAAAGCGATTTTAATCCAAACTACAGGAAATTATTAAAAAACATGAAGAAGGCATTAGGAACAAAATGCGCTTATGCAAAGAATATGGCATGTTGACATCAATCAGTCGACAATTTTGCACAAAGAAAAAATTTAAAGAAGTGAAAGTGAGAGACAAATCTACAGTGTTTTAAAGGTTAGATCCCTAATTGCAGAAATAGAGAGGTTACTCTCATCTGGATTAGGGAAAACAGGATGAAAGGGTGATTCAGTTTCTACTGAATTCATTTAGAAAGAGCCAGGAGATTTACGAACATTTAAAGACAGATCAACCTGGTCTTCAGGAACAGAATTTGAAGATTTTAGGGCCAGCAAAGGCTGGGTTCGAAAAATTTTAAGCAGTGTTAGCGACATTTTCAGTGTTATAAGCATGGTGATGCTGCTGGTGCTGAGAAGGCAGGGCAAAAAGTTTTAGGTGTGGAGTTTAAAGAACTAATGGAAGAAGAAAATTATCTTCCAGCAGCAAGTGTTCAATGGGACGAAACTGGCTTGTTTTGGAAAAAGATGCCCAAAAGAACATTCATCACCAGAGATGAAGCCTCTTTACCTGGGCATAAACCGATAAAAGACCGTCTCACTCTATTGCTTGGTGACAATGCTTCAGGGGATTTCCGACTGACGCCTATGCTTGTCTACCACTCTGAAAACCCCAGGGTGTCCAAGCAACAGAAAGTGGTAAGAGGAAATCTTGGAGTTTATTGGAAGTCCAACCGTATGGCATGGGTGACAAGACAGCTCTCTAATGAATGGGCTGTTGAGGTGTTTTGCCCTTCTGTTAAGAGCTATCTAACCACCAATAAACTCCCTTTAAAGGCTCTTCTCCTCATGGATAATGCTCTTGGTCATGACCCTGACCTTGCCAGAAATTTGGAGTATCAATTTGACTTTGTGAAAGTGTTGTTTTTGCCTCCCAACACTACATCAATCATACAGGCAATGGACCAGAATGTGATCAGCAACTTCAAGAAGTTGTACATGAAGAAAATGTTTAGGAGGTGTCATCAGGCAACTTCCACTGATCCTGAACTAACACTGGCACAGTTCTGGAAGACACAATTTAACATCCTGGAGGCTGTAAAATTGATTGTGTCATCATGGCAAGAAGTCTCCACTAGATCCCTCAATTCTTCATGGAAAGCACATGTGTCCATGATTTTGAGGGATTTCAGGATGACCAGGAGATTGTGTCCATTGGTCAGTCATTGGGCCTTGAAGTGGAGGAGGAAGATGTCGAAGAGCTTATGATGTCTCATGGGGAGGAACGTACTCCTGAAGAGTTGCAGCAACTGGAGGAGATGTTAGAGGCTGACAATGGTGAGGAGGAAAGGGAAAGTGATGACCATATGTCAACTTCAGAGTTGAAAAATGTTATTTACTACTGGGAGAAGTTCAGGGAACTGGCTTCAAGGCACCCAGATGTGAAAAAATCTGAACTAACTTTGTGTCATGTTGAGGACACAATGGTCTCCTTCTTTAAACATAAGTTAATGATGAGGAGGAGAGATGCCCCACAGACCACAATTGACACTTTCTTCAGTAAAAGGCAGAGGGAACAAGATACTAGCCCTCAGCCTTCCACTTCAAAAAAGAGAGAGGATGATGCTAGCCCTCAGTCTTCCACTTCAAGAAGGAGAGAGGATGTTCATGGTGGAGAATCTGTCAGTCCAGAGGTTCCTGACATTTTCATGGAAGGTGACTCACCTTCCAAGAAGCAGTAAAATGCTTCTCCTCCACCTCCACTTCCTTCTCTTCTCCCTTCTCCTCCTCCACCTCCACTTCCTTCTCCTCCTCCACCTCCCACTTCAAATTCACATCAGCATCATCATCCAGGAGCCTTCTACATACACACCTCAAAGTAAGTGAACTTTTCTACCTTTTTTGTTGAATTTAGGCAATTTTCGGTGAGCTGGAACCAATTACCCAAAAACCCATTGAAACAATGGTTTCGTAGCTTGCAACCTGCTGGAACGGATTGTGCCTAACCGAGGGACCACTGTATTGTAATTTCATTTATAACAAATATTGTACTGTAATGTGACCAGTAAAGCACCAACCTGTCCAGTGAAGAACCAGTGGAATCTGTATTTTTCAAAATTATTATTAGTACAGTATTACTTTTTTTTTAACAGCCTCAGTTTCTGACAAATTTCATAAAAAGTGATAATCTTTCCGAGATATTTTGTTCAATACAAAGTACTGTACAGTAAATAAAAATAGCTCAAGTGTTTGAGTTGCTATCTAACTCGAACAGTTATATTTTATTGTACTGTTTAAATTTGTCACAAAATAGCCGGCATTAAATCACTTGAGAGGGATACAAAGCATTATCATCCAAAGTATGTGCCAGTATATGTACAGCCTTCTTACCTGGTATATTCTAGACTCCCATGAGGGAAAGCGGTGCAGGGGAGGTGTGGGAGGCTTTTCTCCATTGGTCTCTGGCCCGGCCAGCGGGCATGGTCACGGCTGGGCGTATAGATCTCACTGTAGTCATGGGCTTCATCCTTGGCTCGAGATCTCCTACCATCATCACTCAGGTGGCTATCCCCAGACCGTGCCAACTGACTTGAATCGGTGCTCTCAGTGTTGTCATAACCATCCAGCTCCAGATCAAGGCTGTCAGCACTCTTGGTGACATAGGTTGGCACGCCTCCTTCTGAGGTGCTTGGTGCGTGGCTGAGGTACAGGTTTCCGCGGGCTGTCTCCCCTACTGCCAGCCCGGGAGCCACTTCTGGGTAAGCTACCTGTGCTCTGCGTCAGGCTATTGAGCATCACTTCTAAAGGACTCTTGGGGCTCAAACTTTGGCGAGTCTCCATGTCTACCGAACCGGAGTCTACCACGAGTCTCTCATCCCTTTTTCGTTGTCATATCTTCTCTCCAGACCAGTCCTTGGAATTCCATTGTGTCGAGACTTAAAGCGAATCTCGCCATAGTTGGCATCGGTGTCACTTGAGCTGGCTCTCCTCAGTCCTGCAGGTGACCTTTAAGAACAACAACAAATAATCAAATAATTATGCTCAGCCACCATTGGTAAAAGGTAACAAAGAGTTAACTTATACCTGTGGTTGTTTGTTGGGCAGCAAAGCAATGAATTGTGTGGGTAGTGGTATTTGGGCTCGTAAATCATAATATTGCATAGTGTAAAATTACTGGTAATAATTATGAAGTGATACATATATCATACATATACAGAATATATTTTTAGGGGCCCTTCTCCCATTACCATTTGACATTTACATTTTTCAAAGCTTTATGACTGACTATTGATCAGTCTGATACATACCAAGTAACAAAAGAACGCAACAGGTAACAACAAAAAACAAAAAAAAAAAATTCCGATGTATAAGAAAAGCTTATGACAAAATTGCAAAAAAGGTGAAGAAAAATCCTGTAACAGACCTTTAATGCCAATGACTAAATAATATGAATTTTATCAATGTTCCACAGTCGTTTATCAATCTACATTTGCTATTATGCCTTTTATGTAGCTGTCTTGACCTTTACTACCTCAGCTATTTTTTGTCACCAGCTATTTACGAGTCTGTGATGACCACCATTTTACTAGTGTGTGTGTGATGACCACTATTATCTACTAGTGTGTGTGTGATGACCACCATTATCTATTAGTGTGTGTGTGTGATGACAACTATTATCTACAAGTGTGTGTGTGTGATGACTACTATTATCTATTAGTGTGTGTGTGTGTGTGTGTGTGTGTGTGATGACCACCATTATCTATTAGTGTGTGTGTGTGATACAACTATTATCTACAAGTGTGTGTGTGTGATGACCACTATTATCTACTAGTGTGTGTGTGTGTGATGACCACTATTATCTACTAGTGTGTGTGTGTGATGACTACTATTATCTATTAGTGTGTGTGTGTGATGACCACTATTATCTACTAGTGTGTGTGTGATGACCACCATTATCTATTAGTGTGTGTGTGTGATGACCACTATTATCTACAAGTGTGTGATGACTACTATTATCTATTAGTGTGTGTGTGTGTGTGATGACCACTATTATCCACAAGTGTGTGTGTGTGATGACTACTATTATCTACTAGTGTGTGTGTGATGACCACCATTATCTATTAGTGTGTGTGTGTGATGACAACTATTATCTACAAGTGTGTGTGTGTGTGATGACTACTATTATCTATTAGTGTGTGTGTGTGATGACCACTATTATCTACAAGTGTGTGTGTGTGATGACTACGATTATCTATTAGTGTGTGTGTGTGTGTGTGTGTGATGACCACCATTATCTATTAGTGTGTGTGATGATCACTATTATCTACTAGTGTGTGTGTGATGACCACCATTATCTATTAGTGTGTGTGTGTGGATGACAACTATTATCTACAAGTGTGTGTGTGTGATGACTACTATTATCTATTAGTGTGTGTGTGTGTGTGTGTGTGTGTGTGTGTGTGTGTGTGTGTGGATGACCACTATTCCACAAGTGTGTGTGTGTGTGTGATGACTATTATCTACTAGTGTGTGTGTGTGTGTGTGTGTGTGTGTGTGGATGACTACTATTATCTGTGTGTGTGATGACCACTATTATCTACTAGTGTGTGTGATGACCACCACATCATTAGTTGTGTGTGTGTGATGACAACTATTATCTACTAGTGTGTGTGTGATGACCACCATTATCTATTAGGTGTGTGTGTGATGACAACTATATCTACTAGTGTGTGTGTGTGTGATGACCACTATTATCTACTAGTGTGTGTGTGTGTGTGTGTGTGTGTATGACCACTATTATCTATTAGTGTGTGTGTGATGACCACTATTATCTATTAGTGTGTGGATGACCACTATTATTACTAGTGTGTGTGTGATGACCACCATTATCTATTAGTGTGTGTGTGTGTGATGACAACTATTATCTACTAGTGTGTGTGTGTGATGATCACCATTCTATTAGTGTGTGTGTGTGATGACACCATATCTACAAGTGTGTGTGTGTGGATGACGACTATTATCTATTAGTGTGTGTGTGTGTATGACCACTATTATTCACAAGTGTGTGTGTGTTGATGACGACTATTATCTACTAGTGTGTGTGTGTGTGTGTGTGTGTGTGTGTGTGTGTGTGTGTGTGTGTGTGTGTGTGTGTGTGTGTGTGTGTGATGACCACTATTATCCACAAGTGTGTGTGTGTGTGTGATGACTACTATTATCTACTAGGTGTGTGTGTGTGTGTGTGTGTGTGTGTGTGTGAGACACTTTATCAAGTGTGTGATGACCACTATTATCTACTAGTGTGTGTGTGTGTGTGTGATGACTACATATCTACTAGTGTGTGTGTGTGTATGTGTGTGTGTGTGATGACCACTATTATCTACAAGTGTGTGTGTGTGTGTGTGTGTGTGTGATGACCACTATTATCTACAAGTGTGTGTGTGTTATGTGTGTGTGTGATGACTACTATTATCTACTAGTGTGTGTGTGTGTGTGTGTGTGTGTGGTGATGACCACTATTATCTACTAGTGTGTGTGTGTGTGTGATGACTACTATTATCTACTAGTGTGTGTGTGTGTGTGTGTGTGTGATGACTACTATTATCTATTAATGTTTGTGTGTGTGTGTGTGTGATGACTACTATTATCTACTAGTGTGTGTGTGTGTGTGTGTGTGTGTGTGTGTGATGACTACTATTATCTATTAGTGTGTGTGTGTGATGACTACTATTATCTATTAGTGTGTGTGTGTGATGACTACTATTATCTATTAGTGTGTAAATAATAATTAACGGTTTATTGAAAGAGCTAGGAAGGCTGAAAATATACAGTTATATTTGGTGAATGGGTTAGAATTACAAATAATATACAAGGACATAAGTGACAAAATAAGACATATAATAACTAGATGGGGAAAAGCTCAAACTACAGTTCATTTCAACATAGTGACAGTGCAAGGAGTAGTGTTTACTGGGAGTGAATACACTGGTTTATTCGTTATTGATAATTTTACAATGGTAGGGACTGGGCTGTTCTTATAGGATCGTTCGTGAGTAGGGGGATGCGGTTGTGTGTGTGTGTGTGTGTGTGTGTGTGTGTGTGTGTGTGTGTGTGTGTGTGTGTGTGTGTGATGACACTATATTTTTGTGTGTGTGATGACCACTATTATTCAACAAGTGTGTGTGTGTATGACCACTATTATCAAGTGTGTGTGTGTGATGACTACTATTCTACAAGTGTGTGTGTGTGTGTGATGACCACTATTATCTACAAGTGTGTGTGTGTGATGACTACTATTATTCTACAGTGTGGTGTGATGACCACTATTATCTACAAGTGTGTGTGTGTGTGTGTGATGGGACTACTATTATCTACTAGTGTGTGTGTGTGTGTGTGTGATGACCACTATTATCTACAAGTGTGTGTGTGTGATGACCACTATTATCTACAAGTGTGTGTGTGTGATGACTACTATTATCTACTAGTGTGTGTGTGTGATGACTACTATTATCTATTAGTGTGTGTGTGTGTGTGATGACCACTATTATCTACAAGTGTGTGTGTGTGTGATGACTACTATTATCTACTAGTGTGTGTGGATGACTACTATTATCTACTAGTGTGTGTGTGATGACTACTATTATCTACTAGTGTGTGTGTGTGTGTGTGTGTGTGTGTGTGTGTGTGTGTGTGATGACAATCTACAAGTGTGTGTGTGTGTGTGTGTGATGACCACTATTATCTACAAGTGTGTGTGTGTGTGTGTGTGTGTGTGTGTGATGACCACTATTATCTACAAGTGTGTGTGTGTGTGTGTGTGATGACCACTATTATCTACTAGTGTGTGTGATGACCACTATTATCTACTAGTGTGTGTGTGTGTGTGTGATGACTATTATCTACTATTGTTTTGTGTGATGACCACTATTGTCTACTAGTGTGTGTGATGACCACTATTATCTACTAGTGTGTGTGTGTGTGTGTGTGTGTGTGATGACCACTATTATCACAAGTGTGTGTGTGTGATGACCACTATTATCTACAAGTGTGTGTGTGTGATGACTATTATCTACTAGTGTGTGTGATGACCACTATTATCTACTAGTGTGTGTGTTGACCACTATTATCTACTAGTGTGTGTGATGACCACTATTATCTACTAGTGTGTGATGACCACTATTATCTACTAGTGTGTGATGACCACTATTATCTACTAGTGTGTGTGTTGACCAGTATTATCTACTAGTGTGTGCGTGTGTGATGTTCACTATTATCTACAAGTGTGTGTGTGATGACTACTATTATATACTAGTGTGTGTGTGTGTGTGTGTGTGTGTGTGTGACCCTTTTTGGCTGAAGTTTGATCTGAGTTTCTCTCAGTCAGGGAAGATTTTTGGATCTTGCTCAGACCACCCGGGGGTCCGTGGTCAATAGTAATACCAAGGTGTACAGTCTTAAGACCTGTTTTGGAGCTGATTAACGGCTCATTTTGAAGCTTATGGTGTCTTTTTTCACATTAGACTGCAGTTACTTCTTAATTATAAAATACAATGCTGTATAGAAAAGTGTAAAGAGACGTCGCAAACCTCAGAATTTCACAAACTCGCCGACCGCCCATTCTAAATGGTCCCACTATAAATAGTGCACCCCAAAATTTTCAATGGTAACATAATTTTTCTCATCTAGGACACTAAGGAACAAAATGGTACTAAAAAGTAGATTAGTGAGGGGGTAAGGGTTACCCTACCTAGCCCATGGACTGACTAACTTAGAAAGACTTACATGAACACAAGGAGAAATACACACACACGTACCTAGACTTTGAGCGTCGGTCTCGGCCGAGCGTGGCAGGTCGGGACGGGATGTAGTCGGCCTCGTTACGACCGTCGGCGAGAGACTCGTCGCTGTCGGGTCGGTCACCCTCAAAGCTCCCCCTCGACGAGTCCTGCGGGGTGAACACGCTCGTCAAGCCAAGGAGGGAGGTTGGGGGATGGCGGAGATTGATGACAAGGAAGGAGTAGAGGGGGGAGGAGAGGAAAATGTATGGGTGGAAATGTTGGGGAGGAAAGAGACGCTCGTCGAGTCCGGAGAGGGGAGGAGAAAAATTGGGGAAGGCCTGGTGTGGGGAGCAACAGGAGGGGAGTTTTTCCAAATGTACACAGAAGGATGGGGAAGGCAGGAAATTTAGTGAGAGGGGAGAGTTCTGAGGAAAGGGGAGAGTTCTGAGGAGAGGGGAGAGTTCTGAGGAGAGGGGAGAGTTCTGAGGAGAGGGGAGAGTTCTGGAGAGAGGAGAGTTCTGGAGGAGAGGCAGTCTGAGGAGAGGGGTGAGTTCTGGAGGAGAGGTGAGTTTGAGGAGAGGGGCAAGGAGTTTGAGGAGAGGGGTGAGTTTGGAGGAGGGGTGAGTTCTTAGGAGAGGGTGGGTTCTGAGAGGGAGAGTTCTGAGGAGAGGGGAGAGTTCTGAGGAGAGGGGAGAGTTCTGAGGAGAGGGGAGAGTTCTGAGGAGATGGGGGGTTCTGAGGAGAGGGGAGAGTTCTGAGGAGATGGGGGGTTCTGAGGAAAGGGGAGGGGTTAAGGGGTAGATACACAGACTCTTCTGGCCCGGCAGGGGAGTGGCTATCATGAAGGAAGGTGAACTTGGTGTAGGTAGTGATAGTAATAGGAAAGGTTGTTTTAATTAAGGCAGTGATCCCCAACCTTTTGTAGGCTCTGGGCCAAATTTATCATTGTAAATATAGTGGAGGGCGCCAAAAATTGGGATCTACATTCAAGAAAAAAATCTCATATATACTGTACAGTTATTTGCAGTTTAACACGTCTAGCTGTTACCAGTTACATACATTTTACATTTACGCTTGGACAGGACGTGAAGGTTGGCTGGCTGGCTAGCTGGCTCTCTTTCTGGGCCCAGTCTGGGGTAAATACACACGTCCTGTACACGACAGACTCGGGACATATGCGCAGTTGTATCAAGTCATTACAGATTTTCATTAATTTCTCACAAAGAATCCAAAATAATTTACAAATTTCTAACAAACCCCAGAGGGCTCCATAATATGGTTCCGAGCGCCAGCAAACTACAGGTTGGGGACCACTGTTTTAAGGGGTGGTGCTGGTGGTTGTGACAGGAATAGTAATAATGGGTATGGTTGCTTTAAGGGTTGGTTATGGTGATAGTACTAATGGGAATGGTTGGTTTTAGGGGATGGTAATGGTTGGTTGTAAGAGGTATAGGGGGTAGTAATGGTTGGTCTTCAATCCATTAGTTTGCGGCCAAGAAAGATATAGGGGCGGGAAGGGAACATGCGGGAAGGTGATGGTGATGAATATGAGGCGCGTTGAGGAGTAAAACAGAAAATGAGGGAAGGAGGGTTAGTAAAAATGAGGATATGAAGGATGATGAAGATGAGGTAATGAAGGATAAAGAAAATGACGAAAACAAGGGATGATAAAAATGATGAAATGAAGAATGATATAAAATGACGAAAGATGACAATGAAGGATGATGAATATATGTGACGATAAAAATGAAAGAAGAGTAAAACAAAATACATCCAATAGCGATGAAAAATATTGCAAAAAAATAAATAAATGAGATATTTCACAATACACAGAATATATCTATTTCAACTGTGACTAACAGAAAACTTCATGACAACTGAACACACAACTTTTACAAGATTTTGGTAAATACGAAGAGTGTGAGGCAGCGTAAGGGAGGGGCTGGGGTGATGAGTACAGTACCTTTAGAAGCCTCTTGAAAGTGTTTGTTCAAAAGTTGTTCATAATATGGGATTCTACAGTATAGGTGGCAGTAAGCTTTATAATACCATGTAAAAGTTAACGTCTAACTTACTTTCCGTGGAAAAACAAGCTGGGGGAGGGGTAGTGTATTCTGGATAACCATGAGTCTACTTTATCCAGAGTCTATTTTATCTAAATTACTATTACATTTACTAGTGTGTCAGAATCTAGACATTATGCCGCTAAATTGATTATATAAAAAACATTGTGTTGGTGTGAGGAGTTTGATGCTGGGGAAGACACCTTAAGAACACACACACAGTACTAATTGGAAGATCACATTAAAACTTACCTGTGTTGTCACAATTAACACCTAATTCTCATCACCCTCACCTGTTGTCAACGTGTGTGCAAGACTATAAAATCAAGATGTACAGAAAATTGTACGTGAACAAATTATTTTAATAGGGTGGCCTTATTAGTGTAAAACTACTAAAACAATTTTAAAACAGTTGTTTTAAAAGAAAATGTCACCGAGTGTTTTTGAAATTAGAGGAATTCTATGTAAAGTGAATAATGTTACACACTGAACAACATGCGATATCAAGATAAAAGAATTCCAAAATTTGTGACAGCCTTCGGCTCCTCTAATAACCTCAGGGTCTTCAGCCAGTAACACACCCCTCCAGGGCCTGCACCTTACCCCCAAAATAACTGTATATCCTCCAGCAAGTTCACAAAACAAATGACGTCCTGTCTTCTCAAAATCCAAATGATTTCCAGAAAAAAATAGAATTGTGAAATTCCAAAAGCCAAAGATGTTAATTGGCTCTCAAAACAAAACAATAAAACCTGAAATTTATAAGAAAAAAATCTAGTCTCCGGATTTATAAAAAAAAACATACCTTCCAGGCTGCGCTTAACACATCAAAACTCTCGAGCTACTCAAACGAATTAAACTCCATGCCCGTCTAAACACACCTATTATTTTCCTTATAATCAAACCTGGATAATCCCAGCCCGCACCCACTCCAATACGTTAAGTGTAACTAATAATGTGGCTTTAGTCTTTCTTAACTGAAAACTGTGTGATGTGTTTATATATGGGGAACAAACTCTCACACAGACCATCTTATCTATAACGAGTAATTCTTACATTCTTTGAACCCGTTAACACACCCATTTTTCAGCAAGCAAACCACTTTGTATATACTATGGAAAAGTTCCTAATTAAACTCTTATTTCTCAAATTTATCGCTTCACAGAAACCCATATCTCACACCAGGGTAGCAGGGCATTATATCATCAGCGTTAACTTGCATTCTCAACACATTTTCAATACACATTCATTATTTCTTCCGATAACAATGTTCTACACACATGATGCTGGCACTCACCCCCGCCTCTATATTCATGATCGAGTCATGACCTCAACCATTCGTCCAATGCCTTGAGAACTTATCAAAATTTCACTAGTACTTACTTTCCTACTTAATCACCCAAAATAAAAAAGGGCGGCTTTTGAATCGTCGCACCAGCCCTCATACTAGACACACTCGGCCACGCCTTTAGGTTAATGTCAATCATGTATAACTTCCACACATATTATAACCATTGGTGTATTATTATTATCATTTACCCACTGGCATACAAAACAGAACACTAACGAACCAAAAGCCATAAACCGGTACCCATTATTTCTTTTCAGTGATGAAACAAAAAGCCACACAAATCAACACGTAAATTTGTCAGTTGCCTAAACTTATGAACAAGACAGATGCAAGATTCAGTAAACTGTTAGCACACCACTTACACAATAAAAATAAATAAACTTTGCAAAATATTCATGTATAAAGGAAGTGTTCCCTCTATGGAAATAATTGTCAAAAGCTATAAAGTTAAAACCAAACTCAAAATGAGCAAGAAGCATTGGCAGACGTGGACCAAAATATCACAAGCTATAATAGTGTTCGTGCCACGTGGTGATGCTGTTCGTTCGAAGACATTCCTTGAGAAAATCTTCAAGTCAAAGTCATCAATCCCAATCACAGAAATGATGTTCTAAGTTTTTCTGAAATTGAAGTTTTAAATTCTAATAAAATTACGAAAGGCAACTACCCTTAATGTTTTAAAATTCAGTTCGTAATTGTAATCTAGAATAGTTAAGGAATGGCTTGGAAAAGTTGAAAGAAAACATATTAAAGCGTGGAGTGTACCTATAATCCCTGACTGTGAGCACACAGTCCTACGAGCCACACCCCTCCTAAACCCTCCAGCACCCCATAACTACGCCCCTCCTATAAGCAGCCCTATAGCCCTCACACAAGCAGCCCAAGCGTTACCACACAGACAGCGCCTCCATACCTTAGGCAGACTTAGGGACCTCCTTTTCCATAACCTCTGGAAAGGAGAGTTGAAATGGGGTGAAGACGAGTAGGTGTAACCGTTGTTGTTGTTTTTTGTTTTTTTTTCAATGCACTCAAATCTTACCACTTAATTATAGTCCAAACTGGTTATCACACCTCACTATTCTCAGTTCATTGATATAAATCACTCAATTACTACAAGTTGTGATAATGTGTTATCACCTTAATACTCTCAGGTCATTAATACAGTCTGGGGCCTAGTATTATCTGGAACCCAAAATGTAACATCAAG